TACCAGGAATTTTACTCCATGACTAGGAGGCCAACCACACATACTAGGGGAAAAGGGAGCTCAGATAGAGAAGGGAGCACCAAATAAAGGTGTTGGGAGGATCCTCCCAGGATGGGAGAAGCATGCTGAAGTAGACTATAGACCGAACAGGACTGTCGCTCAATGTTTCTTTTGCAAACCACAACACCCAAAAGGAGAGAGAGAGAACAGAGGGGAATGCCCTGCCACAGAGGCAGGGTGGGATGGGGGGATCGGGGGTGGGAGGGATACTGGGATCCGTGGTGGTGGGAAATGGGCACTGGTGGAGGGATGGGCATTTGATCATTGTATAATTGAAACCCAAGCACAAAAATGTGTAAGTCTGCAACTGTACCTCATGATGTCTCACTATTAAAAAGTTTTTTAATTAAAAAAAATGCTGTTGCCAGAAAAGACCAAACAAATAGAGAAAAATGTTAACAGCTCGAGGTATGGATGGATGTTAATCTACTCATTTTTCTTTTCTGAGAGCTTGGAGATTTCATAATTTTATAATAAAAGTTTTTATTTATTTATTTATTTTTGCTTTTTGGGTCACTCCCTGCAATCCACAGGGGTTACTCCTGGCTCATACACTCAGGAGTTACCCCTGGTGGTGCTCAGGGGACCATATGGGATGCTGGGAATCGAACCCGGGTCGGCCACATGCAAGGCAAATGCCCTACCCGCTGTGCTATCTCTCCAGCCCCTAATAAAAGTTTTTAATCCCAAGTTGTACAAAGAACCTATTTTAAAATTTCATGAGCTTTTAAAACATTGGTAATACCATTTATCACTTATATCTGTACTCCTCCAGAAATGGTACAATCAGCTTAGCAGGTTCTGTAGAGCGACTGCAGTTGTTTCCTTTTGTTTTGTTTTGTTTTGTTTTGTGGCTATACCTGGCATGCTCAGGATTTACTCCTGGCTCTGTGCACAGGGATCACTCAGCAGGACTGGAAAACCATAAGTAGTACTGGGGATCAAACAAGTGGGATGCATGCAAGGCAAGCCCCTTACCTGCTGTACAGAAATAATAATGGAGATTAAGTTACCTTAATTAAGATGTTATGGAGAGTATCATACTAAGCAAAATGAGTCAGAAAGAGAGGGACAGGCATAGAAAGATTGCATTCATCTGGGGAGCAGAAGGTAACAAAATCGGAGACTAACTACCAAGAATAGCCCAGATAAGTACCAGGAGGTTCACTCCATGGCTTGGAGGGGGAAGCACACGCTGGGGGAAGAGGCAGCTCAGATAGAGAAGGGAGCACTAAATAAAGGGTATTGGGAGGATCCTCCCAAAATGGGAGATGCATGCTGAAAGTAGACTATAGACCGAACATGATTGCCACTCAATGCCTCTTTTGCAAACCACAGCACCCAAAAGGAGAGAGAGAACAAGGGGGAATGCCCTGCCACAGAGGCAGGGTGGGACGGGGAGGATGGGGGGTGGGAGGGATGCTGTGATCAGTGGTGGCAGAGAATGGGCACTGGTGGAGGGATGGGTACTCGATCATTGTACAATTGAAACCCAAGCACAAAAATTTGTAAGTCTACAACTCTACCTCATGGTGTTTCACTAATAAAATTTTTTTAAAAAAAAGATTTTAAATAGGAGATACTATACAGATCTTCAGCTCCACATGTTGTTTGTTTTTATTTAAAAAATTGCTTTCTGAGTGGCTGGAGCAATAGCACAGTGGATATGGCATTTGCCTTGCACACGGCCAACCCGGGTTCAATTCCCAGCATTTCATATGGTCCCCTGCACACTGCCAGGAGTGATTCCTGAGTGCAGAGGCAGAAGTAACTTGTGAGCATTGCTGGTGTGACCCAAAAAGAAAAAAAAATGCCTTCTGAAACTAACTTTTTCATTAAAAGCTGAAAAGTTTTAGACAGAGAAAACAAAGTCCACTCAAGTGAGATCCAAGTCAATTCAAAGAAAAGAAATCCTATTTCTCTACCAGTTTTTTTAAGCTGCACATGAACATACAATAGAAAACGTTTAAAAAGGCTGAGATAATTGGAATCAAAGTTCATCTCTTGCCAATTCCTCACAGTTGGCAAAATCTGGAAGCAAGAGCAACCCAGAGCCATAGCACAGAGGGCAGGGCATTTGCCTTGCACAAGACTTAGCAGGGTCCAGTCCCCAGGGCATCCCACACAGTCCCCTGAGGGAAGCTCAGAGCTAGCCCCGAGCACCCTGGTGTAATACAAAAAAACAAAACAGAACAAAAGAGCAATGGGTCATTAATGTGCAATCCTTAGAGGCCAATTTTGCTTACAATTATCTGACCCTTTCAGAGCGCCTTTCTGAAGCCAGGCAACCTTGAGATGATTTATTTTGTTCAGCAAAAGCCCTCAGGGAGAGAAACAAAATGAGGTTAAGACAGGTTTAAAATGACCTTTGGGAAGTTTGCTGGGGTGGAGCGATAGCACAGTGGTAAGGCGTTTGCCTTGCGCGCAGCCAGCCCGGCTGAGCCGGGTTCGATTCCCCCGCCCCTCTGGGAGGGCCAGGCAAGCTACCGAGAGTATCTCGCCCGCACAGCAGAGCCTGGCAAGCTCCCCATGACGTATTCGATATGCCAAACACAGTAACAAGAAATCTCACGATGGAGACGTTACTGGGCCCGCTCGAACAAATCGATGAACAACGGGAGAACCATGACCATGACCAGAAGTTTGCTACACATCCACCATTTCCCCGTCTCCCTGCCCACACCTTGGGTAGTGCTTTCAGATTAAATCAGAAAAGATGCTTCTATGTAGCTTTTAATTTGCAACTCTGTCCCTCATAAAAATAACTAACTTAACTTTCACCCTACTCTAAGTCTGTGTTAACAAGGTCAACATACTCAACTCTACTTTTAATACATTTACCAGAAAAGACCCATTGAAGGCAGAGAGTGAAAAGTTCTTTGGGCATCAAGTGCAAGGAAATAATGATCATCATCATCATAAGTAAATCAACAGCTGTAAAAAATAATGGACAACGTCCGTTTCTCTCACTCCCCAAAAAAAAAAAAAAAAAACTTGGCCATGAAGAAGTGCAAACGCTGCCATAGATGTCCGAAGACTTCTTATTCTCCATCATCCCATGGGAACAGCTTGTCAGACATGAGTGAAAGACCATTTGTCAACCTCTTTCCAACACCCTACTTCAAGCCAACATCAACATTCACCCATTTCTCCAGAAGCACTGGGGTCAGAGATAACAATTCACCCCAAACCCACCCATTCCTCACAAACGCCTTTGGTTGCCTAACCTTCTTTGGACAGCTCTGAAAACTGAGGAGGAATTCCAGTCAACAATGGTTAACCATGGACAACAGATCTTTTATCAAAATAAGAATTAAGGCAATAAAAAGGAGAGATGCGGGAAGGAGGGAGAGAATGATATGCCTTACATTGCTTCGTTTCACATTGTAAAAGATTCCCATCCATTTATAGATCTGCAGATATCTCCCTTCAAGAAGCACTGCAGCAGGGCTGGGGTAGCAAGGTGAGGTTGGGGAGGGGAGGGACTTCAAGGCTTTATAATAAAGGCTGAAAATTACTTTTCCCTACGGTGATTTCCACTAGGAATTCAGACTGAAATTAGGACTGCCCCTAGTGGAAGTACTTGAAATACTGCTGGATGGAGGAAAGAGGGGAAATCGGGTTGAGGACCTGCCAAAATGTGCTTGGAGGGTGGGAGAGGAGAGGAGAGGAAGGAGGGATAAGAAGCACCCAGGCCTGAGAATTCAGGTCACAAAAGACTGCAGGAGACAGATGGCAGGGAGAGAACATAAAGACGAAAACTCAAAGGAAGAAGAGGCATGAACCGCTGTCAACTGCCCAAGGGTGTCTTGGAGACCAGTTGGCAGATGCTTTAAGAAAGACACTGTGGTTCCTGGGAGATAGTTCAAAGGGCTGGAGCACATGCTTTGCATGCTGGAGTACTAACATTACATTCAAGCACTGCTGGCAGAAGACTGAGCACTGGGCCGGGAGTAGCCCCTGAGCACCGCAGATGATGAAATTTAATAAATTTAATAATAAAAATAAAATAAAGACACGGAAACTTTCTTTTTGGACCTTTTCTGCCTTAGCGTCCCCCCCTAAAAATATATATATATATTAAATAAAAATAAAATAAAGCCATTGCAGGGTTGGAGAGATAGAGTTTGCCTTGCACGCCTCCGACCCGGGTTCGATTCCCAGCATCCCATAGGGTCCCCTGAGCACCGCCAGGAGTGACTCCTGAGTGCAGCAGAGCCAGGAGTCAACCCCTGTGCATCTCTGGGTGCGACGCAAAAAAAAAAAAAAGCAAAAATAAATAAATAAATAAAGTCATCACAAATCTCTTTTTAGACCTTTTCTGCTTTAGAGAGCCCAGACTAGGAAGCGTCAAACTGATCCTCACCTCGTCGTCGCTATCCTAACCAAGCTGATCATGAAACAACGCCAAGGATATCAAAACCCTTTCAGGTCCACACTTGCCAAATATGCCAGGACGCAACAATAAGGGACAGAGCTGGTGGGTGGTGGTTGGGGGAGGGGGGTGGTGGGGGGGGGGTCGTTGGAAGAAAACCCCACTCTCCGGAATTCCTTGGATTCTGCAAAATTGCAAATCGGAACGGAAAAGGCCAAGGCAGGGACGGTCCGGTGGGGGGGAAGAGGCAGTTGGGTGCTAGAAGCAGCGGCAAAGCCACGGGGTGGGGAACAAATACTTGGAAAGAGGAAAAAGAAAAAGAAACAAAGTAGCAAAGAAACAAAGTAGCAAAGAAACAAAGTGGCAAAGAAACGAAGTGGCAAAGAAACAAAGTAGCAAAGAAACAAAGTAGCAGGTGCGGAGAGCTAGCGGAGCCCGGGTAAGGAAGGTCGGTCTGGGCTGGGGGACGCAGGGGAGGTCGAGTCCCGGCGGGAGGAGCGCGGGGACGCGGGAGAGACGGGGACAGCGCGCAGGGGGAGGCCGGGGGCGGGGAGCGGACACTCACCCCGTTGGCCGCGGCCATCTGCACCACGATCTCGGTGGCCGTGCGGCTGAAGTACCTGCCGTCGCTGCCCACCACCATGGTGCAGCCCTGGCGGTCGCGCAGGTCGATGGACGACAGCGCGCTCTGGATGAAGTTGGGCAGGTAGTTGCGCTGCGCCTCGAAGAGCGCCGTGGGCCGCCGCAGCCCCCCGCCGCCCGCCGGCCGCTGGTCCTCGTAGGGCGCCGTGGGCACCGTCAGCACCGGGATGGGGCTCCCCTCCATCGCGCCCGCCCGGGGGTCCCCGCCGTCGCCCTTCGCGCGGGGCTCCTGGTCCCCGGCCGCCCGGCGCGCCCTGGACCGTCGCCTGCGCGCACCCCGGCGCGAGCGCGGCCTCCCGGGCCCGAGAAACTTCGCTCCCGCCCCACTTCCTCTCCCGCGGCCACGCCCGGGGTGTCCTCCCCGCTCTCGGGGTGTCCTCCCCCCAACCCCGGCGCTGCCACCACCGCCCCCCCCCCGACGCTAACGGGCCGCCGGACCCGAGTCTGCCCCGGGGACCGGTTCCCCGAGCCTGGCACCGCTGGAGCGCAGCCGCCGGGGCCGGGGGGTGCGGCGGTGGCTGCAGAATTGGGGTCCCACCCCCTAGCGCACCCCTCCCCTCCCTGCGCGAGTGCTGCGATCTCTTGCCCGGGCTCCTCTTTTTGTGCAAGGGCGGGGGGAGGGAGCCGCGAGAGGGGGTGGGGGTTGAACCCTTTGCCATGAGCGAACAGTCCCGGCCAAAAATAACCCTGGAAAGGCGAGTTGAGAATTAGCCTCCGCTGCCAGCGCTGAACTTGGAGGCTGGGCGCTGCTGTGTGTGTGTGTGTGTGTGTGTGTGTGTGTGTGTGTGTGTGTGTGTGTGTGTGTGTCTTGTGTGGTGTGTGTGCACAGCCATGTGTTGCCTGGAATCACCCACTGTCAAGGCCCTTTTGTCCAGGTCCAGCAGGGTCTGCCCGGCTCTCTTCCAGGCACGCGCTTTTCCGCATGGGCACTTTGGGGGCTTGTGTGTTTGCTTGCTTGTTTGTTTGTTTGTTTGTTTGTTTGGTGGGATCCTTGCAACCGCAGCGGTGCAGACACCTATGTCCTTATTCTCCTGCCCCTTCTTTCTTCCGTCAGTCCCATTCAGGCGTGGAAAAGGGCCTGTTCCTGTATTTATCCACGCTGCGAAGCTGTTACCAGGGCGAATTGCCCTTAATAGGACGGTAAATTCCTTCGGAGTGTTCTACCAGGAATGAAGAGATCCACGGAAATGAAAGGCGGTCAGGATTCCAGCACCTAGGCTTGCTAGGAAAGTTTCCTCCCGTGCACCCTCCATTCTGCAGGGGCTAGCAATGTCTCTTCTCTCCATAACTGTTATGTTTAAATTTCAAACCCGAGAAATATTCTTTGGTTGTTTATTTTTTTAAGGAGTGATAGTACAGTAGATAGGCATTTGCCTTGCAGGTGGCCAGCCCAAATTCAATCCTCAACATCCCACGTCCCCACTCCATACCCTCCCAAGAGTGATTCACTGAGCACAGAGCCAGGAGTAACCTCTGAGCACTGGTGGCCCAAAAAACAAAAACAAAACAAAGAAACAAACCCAAAAAAAAATGAAATGAAGGACTTAAGAATAAAATCCAAAGGAGGAAGGGAAACTTTCTTCTTTTAACATTTCCTTTCACCCTCAAAGCATTTTTCATTCACTAAATCTGGAAGTGTACTACTTTTCCTTCAGTAGCTGTTCTATGGACATGGTCTTGCTGTGGGATTGTAAAGCAATCGTTTATAGTGAAATGACTAAGAAATAGCTCACCCGTGCACTGAAAACTGATTAAAAATGATAAAAAGACTTTATAACTGGATTTTTGTTTTGGGGGGGTTGTTTTTGTTGTTGTTCTTTTTGCTTTTTTTTTTTACTAGAAAAGGAAGGGCATTTGCCTTGCACGTGGTTGACCTGGGTTCGATTCCTCCACCCCTCTCAGAGAGCCCCTGCAAGCTACGAAGAGTATCCTGCCCACAGGGCAAAGTCTGGCAAGCTACCCATGGTGTATTCGATATGCCAAAAACAGTAGCAACCAGTCTCACAATGGAGATGTTACTGGTGCCCGCTCGAGCAAATCAATGAACAATGGGAGGACAGTGCTGCAGTGCTACTAGTATCATCATGAGATACACAGTTACAAAGCTGTTCATGGTCTGATTTCAGTCATACAACATTCCAACACCCTTCGGTCCACCAGTGTATATTTCCCATTACCAATATCCAGAGTTTCCCTCCCACCAACCCTCCTTCAGCCCCTCTCTCCCTCTCTCTTTCTCTCTCTCTCCCTCTCTCTCTCTCTCTCTCTCTCTCTGTTTTTTGGGGGCTTTGCAATACTGAGTGGTTATTATGTTTGTTCCTTTACCTATTTTCAGCACACAGTTTTTATCCAGAGGGATCATTTCCAGCTATCTTTGTTTATGACTCTTTTCTCTTCGGAGGTTCAAGATGCCTGAAGGGAAGCAGGAGACAGCACTGTGTCAGGGCAAGGATACAGTCGCAGACACACATTGAGTTCAAATTCTGAACCTGCCTCTCTCCTTTGTATTACTACCACTGAAATGCAAAGAGGAGGCCAGTGAAGACTGATTTGTACTGGGACTTCTGAGCTGTTCTCTTAAAACAGAAAGGTGGTTTGGTCACGTTGACTTCTAACTCTCCCCTCCAAGAAAGAGACATCTCCCCCCTCCCATCCTATCCCCAGTTCCTAAAATCTTACTGGTCTGATTGAGAAACTAGGCTTAGCACAGTCTCAAAAAAAAACATGTGGACAGAATCTCAAAATTTCTATGCATCTTTATGCCATGAGAGAGTCTGAAAACACTTTCTAATAGAATTTCAGTTTGGAAGAAAGGACAGAAGAGGAGAGAGTAGGAAGCCAGTTAGGCCCAGTAAGAAGAGAAAAAAGAAATGGGCAAAAGGCTTCTTGGACTCCATGTCTCTCTTCCAGCATTTTCCCCTCTCTCTCTCTCTCTCTCTCTCTCTCTCTCTCTCTCTCTCCCTCTCTCTCTCTTTCTCTCTCTCGACTCCACCATCATTCCCTCCTACCAAGGCCCAGATGTTTCCACAGGGACAAGTCTGACATACCACAGACTAGATTCTAGTTTTACTAGTCAACAGCAAAGCCTCTTTCCTTGGCTCAAATCCCAGCCTAATTCTTCAAGTCAACTGCAACTTGAGGCAACAAACTTTGCCACACAGTGGGACCCCTTCACAGAAAGAGAAGACCTTTTCCCAAAGAAATAGGGTTCTGTCCCCCAAAGGGAGGAAAGGGTGACAGGCAAACTAGCTCTTACCCACCATGGACTTAGCACATTCACTGATGGACTCTTCTGAAATGTCCCTCTTCTCTGAACTCCTATCATCCCTTGTGTCACTTGACATGGACTGGAGCGATAGCACACCAGGTAGGGCGTTTGCCTTGTGTGCAGCCCCAGCCTGGCCAACCCGGGTTCGATTCCTCCGCCCCTCTCGGAGAGCCCGGCAAGCTACCGAGAGTATTTCGCCTGCATGGCAAAGCCTGGCAAGCTACCCTGAAGTATTCAATATGCCAAACACAGTAACAACAAGTCTCACAGTGGAAATTTTACTGGGCCCACTAGAGCAAATCGATGAATAACGGGAGAACCGTGATCACTTGACAGGAATGTTTCACATTCAGCTACCCATGCTCAGCGTGTCTTTGCTCCTCAGTTTGTATGTGACCTTGGAACAATTCCTGAACCTCTCCTAACCTCAGCATCCTCACTAAGAAAGGGACACTATTATAACCCCTAGCTCATAAATGGTTGGAAGGATTACAATATTTATTAGAGTGTCTGATGAGTAGAAAGGCATTCAGTCAATGTCCCCTGTTCAAGTTGTTGTCATCAATAATCTAGTTTCATTATTATTAATGTCCTATAGCTTAAGAGTTTGGGGGCATAGGTGATTAGTTAATAAAGCCTAAAGATTGAATTAAGTTTGAAAATGGAAGTCCAGGGCTGGAAAGATAGCACAGTGGGTAGGGCGTTTGCCTTGCACGCGGCCGACCCGGGTTCGATTCCCAGCATCCCATATGGTCCCCTGAGCATTTCCAGGAGTAACTCCTGAGTGCAGAGCCAGGAGGAACCCCTGTGCATCTCCAGGTGTGACCCAAAAAGCAAAAAAAAAAAAAATGGAAGTCCAAGATCCATGGAGTAATTTATTCTGGAAACATACAGAAAAATGTTTGTGAACTAAAGAAAGTGCTTCAAAAATGCCCTCAAGAGGTGGGTACACTAGTGATAGATGTGGTGTTAGGATTATCTGCATGAGAAACCATATTAACAGTATTGTATACCATCACAATTTAAAAATGGCCCCAAACTTACCAAGTTAATCCCAATAAATGTGTCACAGTGCTAGAGAAAGGAACCCAAGGGGGTCTCTCCTATTAGAGGGCTTTGACATAAATTTAGAGAAAACTGAACTAGACTACTGTCTCCCAAAGGACCCCCCTCATCACCCTCCAGATGAGTGCCACCCAAATACTGCACTATGCAAAGTTTCCTGACAAAATTATTTATTTATCTTTGAAATTGTTTTGGCATACACTGGCAGTACTCATGGGGTTGCTCTGTGCTCAGGAATGACTCCTGGTGGGCTTAGGGGACTATATGAGATGCTGGTGATCGAACCCATGTCACCCTACCTGATGCTCAGTCCCAATCATTTTTTTTAATTTATTTTTTTATTAATGAAACACCATGGGGTACAGTTATAGACTTACAAATTTTTGTGCTTGGGTTTCAGTTACACAATGATCAAGTACCCGTCCCTCCACCAGCACCCATCCTCCACCACCACGGGTCCCAGCATCCCTCCCACCCCTCACCCCCCCATCCCACCCTGCCTCTGTGGTAGGGCATTCCCCCTTGTTGTCTCTCTCTCCTTTTGGGTGCTGTGTTTTGCGAGAGAGGCATTGAGTGGCAATCATGTTCGGTCTATAGTCTACTTTCAGCATGCTTCTCCCACCCTGGGAGGATCCTCCCAACACCCTTCGATCTTTAATCCTGCACATTCTGCCCCATTCTTGAAGCTTCAGAGAACATATTTAAAATATTAAAATTTCTAAGAAATTCAGCAGGAAAGATGTCATTTTTAATATTTGAACACGGTGCTTCCCAGCCTAATCTCCCATAGCTAGCCCCTTGGGGACAAAGGAGACTGGCTTTGTGACAGCAGCTGACTCTAGCCCTTTGTCTGTCCTCAGCAGGCTCCAGAGTGGCTAAGAACATTTTCCTGACACCTCTTTGTGTCCAGCTCAAAACTTGTCTGCAGTGAGGATTCCAGTGAAGGGGCCTCTGTTTGCCTAGAGATGGCAGAGTCTCCT